TCGATACTGGTAAAATGAATTACGTTTGTTTTTCGCAAGTTTGTTGCAAAGAATGACGTATTGAACCTGAAATATAAATGGTTTTATTAGCGACACGGGAAATGAAGGCTGTTCAGGAAAAATTGGAATTATACAGGCACCATAGTAATAGTTTTTGTTCACGTTTTTATGAATATATGCGTATGATGCTTCAATACCAGGTAAGACATCGAAACCAGAGGTCCCTTTCCTCAAGTTTCAGCGGGTCTTAATGAACCTTTGTCCCAGGCAGAAACTTTGATGAAAGACAAAAGTCGAGGGCCGCGTCATAACAGTCTCACAATACAGAGTCACGATCATATTATGGAACATTTGTACAAATATCGCGGATTGTCACTATGGATGAAGGAAATGGATTCTAAACGACACTTGGAGATACAACATGTGGGTTTTGATGTATACTTTTCTTTGAAGGTAGACCAACGAAATTCTTCAGAGATTGAACTGTTCTCTGTGTTGTTATCTTAGCTTTACGTGACCGCCAAGGAGCCAGTCTACAAGAAAGAAACCAAAGAATATTTGCAACAAATGAAGCATATGTTAGCAAAAAGAGAGTTATCCGAAGAGGCAACTTATGGTGAGCAAACTTTATATGTATCAACTAATATAACATTCATCTCATTCGACAAACTTTAAACACATTCCCGTAGTCTTCAGTGCTGCATATTCGCATAGTCATCGATCAAGTATAAATTATGGCAGTTGGCTATCTTTTGATAACACAAAACCATCTTGGGAATTTAAGGAAGGTAGTGTTGGAAAAATCCCACCTGAAGAGGTAAATTTGAAGATTATGAAAATTTTGGTTATTTCATCTCCTAACAATGATCTAACCCTCCCTAGTCTTTTGACCATTGTCTTCAAACCATAATCCCGCTTATCGCCACCGAACAAGATTTTATGTCCGATTTTTTCCATTTCACAAAAAAAACTTCAAAGATTATTTCACCTGAAGAAGCATTTATCAAAGATTTAGATGCTGAAGAAAGTGATGAAAACCTTAACGCGTATAAAAAATTAACGTCAGTCTTTTTTTTATTAATATTATCTTTACCATTGTCCTGATAGATATTAACTTCAAACCTTTTTTTTTTAGCGAATACATGGAAAATCTATTCAATTTTTTACCGGATGATTTGACTTCGTTTGTTGACTATGGGTGCAAGCATGATACTATGTAAAAAAACAAGTCCATTACAATCGCTTCTCTTAATTTCATTTGTTTCAACTTAACCGATCGCCTTTTTTGTAACAGTCAGATTGTAGGCATGATTGTATCTTTGGAAAAGAACATGCAAGAATTTGAAAAGCGCGGGCATGAATTCGTGGTTAGGATGCTACAGCAAGTTAGGAAACATTGTCTTGAAATTTTCGAACGATTTACGGTTTGTTAATTTTTCAACTTGAGAGAAGTCTTTTTCTCTCAATCATTTCGTCATTAAAAAATATCATATTTCCTTTATAATAGAATGATCAGCTTCGAGCCATTGAGGAAACAAAAGTAACTTCAAAAAAACGAAAGGGCATAGTGCTATTTATTCGAATATTTCCGGTGAGTATAGTACTATAGTCATGTGGCATATCAATCTTTTCATCTAATCTTCGCTTACAACTGAAAATCACAATCTTTTACCCTCACCATTTAGCGGTTTGTTGAACGTATCGAACATTCAATGAATTCTGCAGAGCAGCTGGAAATACGTCGTACCGTTAACAGAGGCTATAAAAGAATTGTTAAAACAATGTTTGACTGCCTGGAGGCCATTGCAAAAGATGCTGATTCGCCGATGGATGATAAGGAGCAGTTAAATGCTCACATAATGACATTAGGTAATGCTCAACTTTCGAATTCCACTATTACTCAATTTTTTAATCAATTTTTTCATTCTGCCATCAGAGAATATGCATCACTTTTATACAGAAATTCGCACTCGCAAAATTGTGGTTCTCGAGCCCTTCATGAGACATGCACGAAGCTCTTACGACAAGCACCTGGAAGCTTACGCGAAATCGGTTATTAGGAAACCATTCGGTAAATTGTTGGTATGTTGTCATTCCAAAGCTCTACCAAAATAAGACCTTCTGGGTTGACACTAGTCATTAATTAATCCATTTTGATCTTAGGAATTTTTTGAAGGTATAGAAAGTTTACTTAGGACAACTGCGGCTCCCGAAGAGGTGGGATTTCGACTTCAATACAACAAAGCAGCACTAAAAAAGATCGTATCACAATACCCAGGAAAAGATGTAATCTTATTTTTATTTTTTATTTTTAATCACGTTGATAAAAAAATTCACGATTTTTTTTTTTTTTTTTTTTAAAAGATCAAAAAAAGTCTCGAATTATTATATAAGAGAGTCGATAAACATTTTACAGAAGAAGAAGGCTTGTTGCAAGTAGTTTGGCATAGTATCGAAGAGGTGGTATTACGTAATCAAGACAGATTTACGTCAATAATCAATAGATGTTATCCTGATGCAAATATTACCTTAGAATTTACAAAGGACGATTTACTAAGTTACTTCTCGGAATTGGCTAGAAGTCATTAATTAATTTGTGCAGGCTTCGCAAGGTTTATTGCTATCGATATTTGAAAGGCCTTATCTTACTGTAGACAATGCCAATTCCACCATTTTGACATGACTTTATTTATGGTCGATCTCGATAAAATAATAATAATTATAGTTGTTATATATTATATTAATAGATAAGTTTCTGCAACCCTAGACCATTCAAATTTGTAACTGGCAAGCGGAGATTTATTTCAATTTTAAATACGCCACATTTATTTTATTGTAAAAAAGTCTACAAGTGGATCATGTACACATTTGCTAACTGTTTCATTGATAGATGGAAAAGAATATTATACTCAATAATAATTGATATAACCAAAAATTTGATTATTTAATAAAATCTTTTATATCTCATTTCATTCATTTGTTATGAAAAATCTATATATACTTTAGAATATTAGATATAAAAAAAGTAAAACTTTTGCATAAGTTTTATACACATTATTATCTATAATATATTATCTATTATATTATTATTATTATTATTATTATTATTGAACATTCTAAATGAAATCAAACAATAAGCATATTACAATAAGAAATCAAAAATATGATAAATCACAATAATGAATATTAATGAAAATACCGTATATACAATTGAAACCAGATTTTTAAATTAAAAATTAAATGCAATTAAAAAAATATTTAATAAAAAATTTTTGAATTAAAACTAATAATAATATACAGTATTTATATATAATATGCTAATTATAAAAAAAATTATAAAAAAAATTTTTTTAATATACTGTATATATTCATATAATAAAAATAAATTTTGCTATTTTATCAAAACCCATATAAGTTTGTAAAGTTTTTTGTTCTGAAATTTTTTGGTTACATTTACAACTATACAATTTTAAAGTTATTAATAAATCTAACAAAGATGCAAAACAACAAATATAATAATCTAATTATTATTAGTAACAAAAATATTTTCTAATACTATATACAAACCAATACTTAAACCTATTATTCAAAATATAATTTTGTAAAATTAATCAAATTATAAACTCTATTAATTATATTTTTTATTTTAATAGCAATTAAAAATAATATCTTATATTTAACAAATAATAAAACTAATTTATAATATAAATCAATTCAATCTGAAAACTATTAGTTTTATAAATCAAATTGAAACTGATCCAATTTATATAAATATAATTTTTATTAAATTATTTTATTTTAAATTTAAATTTTCAATTATTGCAACTAAAAATTATTTAATTTAATTTTTTTAAATTTAT